ATATATACGCTTCCTTTAAAATAGGGCACAAAATAAACATTCTCTAGGGTCTTGCACAGCATCCAACACTTTTGCCCTGGTAGCTATCTCCTCCTTTTAACTGGTATGGTTGCTTAGTAATGCTTACTATGGTTGCCTTCTAGCCCACCTGGGGAAGGTAGGGAAAAGTGATCCAGGCAACAAAGAAATTATATTCTCAGCCAAAAAGGGAACTTCCTAGTTGCTGGGTTACATTTTAGCAGTACCATAGAATTCTGGAACTAGCAACCAAGCCTTTCAAAAGATGCCAAACAGGCCTTTCAAACATGGAGGAAATCTTGTCTTTTTTGTGTTATATAATGATAATCCCAAATCTGTATGCAGAAAGTAAATGTTGGGCTGCTACATTCACCTTCCTCCATTTTCTCATGCAGCACTCTAGACCTGAAAGCTTTGGAAATCAGCCAACGTTTTCTGTGTAGTATGATGTCTCAGATCTTGGAGAATCAGCCAGAAATATTAATGATCGATTAAGTTCACCAATATGATGAACCAAAGAGTTACTGTGTAATTGGTTTTGTCATCAAAACAACAATAGAAGTACATAGAGGACAAATGAAATATAATTAAGAAGAAAATGGAAATAAATGCACTTAATAAAAGAACTGCATATTTGGGATAGTTCAAAATAACCAAATGTCCAATATAGAATACAGACTTTAAAAAGAATGTATATTATAACTTTATGCAAACTTAAGCTATCTCATATACAAGTAATAAGATCTTGTACAGGGATGCATTTCTTTGAATCCCAAGTAGTAACAATGGCCTTATATTCTTTCAGATAAGAACAGTTTGGATGAGCTGCATATTTTCAAACACCATAGTGTTGCTGTTTGCCATCTAAGGGCCCTTCCACACAGCCCTAAATTCCAGAATATCAAGGCACAAAATCCCATATTATCTGAGTGTGGACTCAGATAACTCAGTTCGAAGCAGATATTATGAGATTTTCTGCCTTGATATTCTGGGATATAGGGCTGTGTGGGAGACTCTAATTCTCCTGATGGACTTTACCAAAAAGTTCTACATGTGAATGGCCTGCTGCAGCAGACCAAATGACATATGCTGAAGCCTTCTTAATAAAGGCCTACTCATAAAGCAGACATTGGGCCCTTCCACACAGCCATATAACCCAGAATATCAAGACAGAAAACCCCACAATATCTGCTTTGAACTGGGTTATCTGAATCCACACTGCCATATATTCCAGTTCAAAGCAAAAAATGTGGGATTTTATTCAGCTGTGTGGCAGGGGCTCTAGACTGAAGGGTTATGGCTTTAACAGCAGGCAGCATTGAAATGAGTTTTTTTTTACCTGACTGCACCTGACTGCATCAGAATTATTCCACAGTAAATGAGTCAAGGAAATTTGGCTCCAAACCAGATGGTTCAGTCTAAAGTAAAATAAAAATCAGGAATGGACAGGGGGAGTTAATCAAGATGAAGAGAGCATCCAACCTTTTATTTCGAGATGTGCTACAACCATTAACCTCACCAGTGAAGGATGATGGGAAAGAGGGAAAATGTTTCAGTGATGGTGTGGGAGGAACCTTGTTGCATTTCTCTCCTACTGCCTTGGCTGGAGGGGCTCCCTGAAGTAAGTCTTTAGCAGGCGGCCTTCTCTTCCTTAGCATAAAGAAAGTGGCACTGGGGTTGTGTTGCAACAGGATCCCAGTCTTTTTGTGACACAGCAATGGAAAGGCCATACAAGTTGTCACTGTGGCTGCCTTCCCTCTCAATTTCTGTTCCCTCCAAATTTGACATGCTCAATGCTTTTCCCAGAAGAGACACAATAAATCTTACATAGCATAAGAGCTGTTGAAACTGTCTTGGCTGGGTTGTATTGAATTATTTCTAATTATTAGGAAAACTTGGGTAACAGCCTTCAGCCTCGTAACTGGGAGCAAGTTATATTTCTGTACTACTTGTGGGTTTTTTCCTATGTTGTTATAACCAGAGGGTTTGCTCATTTCTGTCTCTCTCATAACTATTCTACAGACACAAAAATGGTGACACGTATTATAAATAATGACATACAAGCAGAAATTCCATTAAGCCCTGAATGGTATTAAAATTTCAATACAAATCATAAACATGACATCTTGAAAATGAAGATTAATTTCTTGTATTTTAGCTAGTTAGCACTTTTAAACAACATAGCTCTTTATGACTGTCTCATTCTTTTGTGTCATTCATATAGGGGCATAGATGGTATTCAACAAGAAGTTGTCACTGTGATAGCCTAACAGGAAATGGAGCATGGCTCACTCCTATTGACAACATCCAGGCTAATACATATTTACATAAATTTACATCAATAAAGGTCTTTAAAATCAAAATCAAACTATCTTTACATGAATACGCAGAGATATTGCAATTTCATATTACCTTCTTCATGGGTTTGACAAAAGTGGCAGGAGAAATGTGAGTGAGTTGTTCATCTTGGAGCCCTCAGTGACATAGTGGGTTAAACTGCTGAGCTGCTGAACTTGCTGACCAAAAGGTCACTGGTTTGAATCCAGGGAGCAGGGTGAGCTCCCACTGTTAGCCCCAGCTTCTGCCAACCTAGAAGTTCGAAAACATGCAAATGTGAGTAGATTAATAGGTACTGCCCTGGCAGGACGGTAACGGCACTCCATGCAGTCATGCTGGCCACATAACCTTGGAGGTGTCTATGGACAATGGCGTCGCTTCGGTTTAGAAATGGAGATGAGCACCTCCCCCCAGAGTTGGACATGACTCGACTTGATGTCAGAGGAAAACATTTACCTTTACTCTCCATATTGTGTGAGTATAGAACAGTATAAGAGAACAGAATAAACATGTGGTAAAGAAACTTGTAGCCATTTCAAACAAGCTGAGGGAGCCTGTCACATATACTTTCTTTATGTGGAATGTGTGAAGCAACATTGGGGTTATACCACCTTTACACTAATTAAATCCCAATAAACTCAATCAGTACTACTAGACTCCATAATCCAATTAAAGATTATAGGATTATAAGAAATGTTTTAATCAACCAGTTGATATTACTTTGATCTCTTCTTCAACTCTTTAGTGAAAGGAAGAGTCATTTAATTAGGAGGGAAGCTAGCTACCATGTGTCTGATAGGTACACATTTATTCTCTCTCATTCTCCTAACATTCAATTCACATATTAAGAAGAATGAGTCAACACAAATTAAGGCTGGCAATGTTTTCAGTGGCATCTATCAAGTCCATTTATAGCAGAGTAAGTAGGCAAGGTCTGAAAAAAATTGCACTGGATCAGTGTAATGGCTTTAGTGATGTGGAAGAGTTTGGACAGAGTAAGGGCAGGAAAGTCAGTAAGTATGCGTGTGCAATGCAGCTGGATCTTGATGACTTTCTCTTAGTTTCTATTGCCCCATGAAACCTGAAGGATTTATATTTAGGTTGTATCATTATTATTTTAAATCTCTGTATATGATTGCCTTTATTTTATGCATGTCTAGGCCATTTTGTATTTATAGGTATTTAATATATGTATATTTTTTATATGTGTGTGGTATACAATTCTGGGTGTTTCTTGTAAAGAAAAGCATGATCTAAATCAGTGGTTCTTAACCTTTGGGTCCCCAGATGTTTTGGCTTTCAACTCCCAGAAACCCTAACAGCTGGCAAACTGGCTGGGATTTCTGGAAGTTCTAGGCCAAAACACAAGTTGAGAACCACTGATCTAAATGGACACATACTTCTCTTTTTTCTCCTATTTTATGGCCCTTACGTGATTGCTGTGATTCTAGTTAATAGTGAGCACTAAAGATGTAAAGAACTAAAATATGCACATGATCAGTCCTGAATAAAAGATCATTTGGGAGCTCTCTGCAAACTGTTCTGAATTTTCCAGAATGCATTATATATGGCTAATGAATCACAATCTTTGTTTACAGTTGTGGAGATGTTAGTTGCTTGCACCACATATGATAGTTTCCTCAGTGCAAAGATCATATCTGGTTCACCTGCCCCTAATTTGTTCAGCAATGGATAAGGATGGATGATGTTGGATAAAGATGGTGCTTGGCATAGCCAAGGGAGAAATACAAGAATAGGTAAAGCTGGACTACATACAGCTCAACTCAACCCAGCCTTTGGGAAGAGAGAGTAAAGAATGAACAGCAAGAAGAGCCTATGGTTCCCAGGAGATAACTGGGCTTGCTGGGTTCCTGCCGACATGACATGACTTCAACACAGCCGACTCAGAGGGAAGCAATGCCAAAGCAGCAGCGCCACATAGCATTAGAAGCACTGGAACACAGGATGATGTTTAGGAGGAGGAAAAACTATCGTATCACAGCAGTAGGGCCCATTAGAACTGAAGCAGTCCCACTGGGGCATTTTATTTGCACACTCCAGTAGGGTGGACGCCAAAGGCTTCGCTAATGCTTCATGGGCTGCTAATTTCTTCTCTGACCCCTTTTGTTAAGGAGTGACCCCAGCCAGAATCTTCCTGCAATGAATGCCAAAGCCTGACACAGGTCTGGGTTGGGGAGGTGACAAAGAGGCCTCTGTGGCTTTAATCAGGCTCCAGTTTGCAGTCTAAGAACTGGGGAGAAGGAGGGGGCTCTGGCTCTCTAAAGATCTGGGTGGCACAATAAGGGAGGCCCCGGGTCTCCCATGGAGGCAGCCGAGCTGGAGCAGCCCGCAGAAGGCAGCTTAAAGAAATTGTCAGGCAGGAAGGGGGGGGTGGAATGGGGGGGGGGTGGCTTTCCTTTGTGAGGTTCTTTAGAAAGGCAGGTTTTTCAGTGAGTGCCCCCATTAGATGACCCAATCAGGTCCTGGCAGATGGATATCACAGGCATGATGCTTATTCATAGCAGGGTACAACTTCTACTGCTCCATCTCCTCCTTCCCACCCTCCTCAGAGGCTTTCATCCATTTTAAGACTAATTTGTTTTTGTTAATGCTTTCTTCTCTCTCTTCCTGCACATGTCCCACAGACTGTGATTCCTACTGTAAAGCATCCAAAGGGAAGCTGAAAATCAACATGAAGAAGTATTGCAAGAAAGACTATGGTGAGCCACTTGTGTCAATGTCACTCTAGAATTGCTACATGCCTATCAATCTATATGTGTGAAAGGAAGTTTTAAAGTTGTGTTTCATTTCTGAAACAGAGGCAGCAATGGATCTCTGTTCTACAAGTGGCCTGTTATACAGTTGGTCCCAAATGATATGGACAGCCTAGATTCCAGGAAAACACTCGCAAAAGGGTTGCAGGTAACACTTGCAAAATGGTCACAAACAGTGGGGGTAATATAATCAAATGTTGGGGCAAATAAACAAGATTTTGCCCTGATACACCTAGTTTCAAATGCAGCCACAAGAAAATGTTGCTCTTCTGATCTTCTTGTTGTTTTGTGCTTTTGAGACATTTCTGATCTATGGCAATCCTAAGGGGAACCTGTCACAGTGTTTTACTGGAAATATTTGTTCAAAAGAGGTTTGCCATTGGTGTCTCATGCCCAACGTCACCCAGTGAGTTTTATGGCTGATCTGGGATTTAAATCCTGGTCTCCAGAGTTGTGTAGCTAACCTGTAATGTAGAAATAAGTAGTAACTGTCAGCTATTGATATACCTGTGTCTGAAGGCTGTATGCAGATCAAATGGGATCTGGTGGCTTTAGGGAACTTAGGGCTCAGCATCTGCATGCTGATCCTCATTTTGCTCATTTACAATTTTTACATCACATGACTTTTGACTTGGTGGGTAGAGAGAGAAGGAAAAGAAGGCATGGAATGCATTGAAACAAGGACAATAGCAGAAAGATTTCACTAATTTATTTCCCATCCATTCTCCATCTCATGATGTTGTTTCCTCCTGGTTTATTTCCTACTAGCTTGGGGACCCGGCACTGCCCGGGTCTTTATTGGTCATTGGATAAAGGTCACAGTGGTTTCAGTAAGTGAGTGAAGTTACTTCAAGTCCCATCATCCATGGTCCATCCTCCTCCAAACTGCACCAGGTTGTAGGGTGGGTCATGGGGACTCTATGTGCCAAGTTTGGTCTTGATCAGTCATTGGATGAGGGTCGCAGCGATCTCAGGAAGTCCCATCATCCATGGGCCATCCTCCTCCAAACTGCAGAAGGATGTAGAATGGGTAATGGGCGCTCTGTGTGCCAAGTTTGGTCTTTATTGGTATCTGAGATGCATAATGGGTGTAGTGATCTATGGTATTTTTCTGAATGGTTTGTATTTCACCTTTAGATAGAAATGTAGATGATGTGGGTATAGAGTTTGTTATAGTGTGGGAAGGCACACTTTGCCCCTATTTCTTTAAGGAGCAGTATAATTGTATAATTGCCTTGTGGAACGTAGCAATTATGTTCATACCACTGAGAGTGTTTATTTTATTTAGAAGAAACGTTTTTAGCAGCCAGTGCTGAGAAGAGAATATTTATGGATTCTGGATATTTAGGTTACATATCATGATTCAAGTTATTTCTGTCTGTACTCTTCCACTTCTAAAAAACATTATGTGGGTAGATGTGATATCTGGAGCTTTCATGGCCTTCCTTAGAAACGTCTCCATTTAATAGGATTGTTCACAGGACAGAATAGCTGGAACATAAACACTTTCTGTGGATGTAGATAAAGATTACTTACTTAGGCAATCCCTCGTAGCCCGGGGATGATTGTCTTCCAGATGTGGGTCTTGGCAGTGGGTTTATATGTGGCTGTGATCCGCATGTTTTCCTGCAGTGAGAACATTGGTTTCCAGATGGAAAGTGGTCCTGAACAGGATGGCTTGATGCACCTTCCTCTTGGCATGTTTCTCTCTTTCACCCTCCATTCATGACTCTTTGAATTCCACAGCACTGCTGGTCACAGCTGACCTCCAGTTAGAGTGCTCAAGGGCCAGGGCTTCCCAGTTCTTGGTGTCTATGCCACAGATTTTAAGACTGGCTTTAAGCCCATCTTTAAATCTCTTTTCCTGTCCACCAACATTACATTTCCCATTCTTGAGTTGGGAGTATAGTAACTGCTTTGGAAGATGGTGATCGGGCATTTGGACAACGTGGCCAGTCCAGCAAAGTTGATGGTGGAGGAGCATCGCTTCAATGCTGGTTGTCTTTGCTTCTTCCAGCACGCTGACATTTGCTTGTCTTCCCAAGAGATTTGCAGGATTTTTCAGAGGCAGTGCTGATGGAATTGTTCTAAGAGTTGAGTGTGATGTCTGTAGACAGTCCACGTTTCACAGGCGTATAGCAGGGTTGGGAAGACAGTAGTTTTATAAACAAGCACCCTATGGATGTCTCGGTCCTCAAACACTCTGCTTCATTTGGAAAAATGCTGCACTCGCAGAGCTCAGGCGGTGTTGTATTTTGGTGTTAATGTTGACTTTTGTGAGAGGTGGCTGCCAAGGCAGCGGAAATGGCCAACATTTTCTAATGTTACACTATTAAGCTGTAGTTCTGGCATTGCAGGGGGATCGGCTAGTGACTGCTGGAAGAGCACTTTGGTTTTCTCGATGTTCAGTGAGAGGCTGAGCTTCTCGTATGCTTCTTCAAAGGTGTTTAGAGTGGCTTGTAGGTTGTCTTCTGACACCGCACAGATATGGATTACCATGGCCCCAATCAGCATGTGAACATGCTCCTTTCAAGGTAATCCATGTCCACAGACAGTGAAGTTACCTTAGCTCTTGGGGCCAGGGACAGTTTCTGACTTTACATGGAATTGTACCTTTTTGGAATATCAGAGATAACATTTTTCTCGCAACTATAATGTTAGCATAAAGAATCCAATACTTTTCCTGCATGGCAGAGGGATGGACTGCATGGCACATGTGGTCTCTTCCAATTCTATTATTCTATGTTTCTATCACCTTGTTACTCAGAAATGAGCAACAAAAGGAGGATGGAGATCCAGATGTTTCTGGGAAGCAAGAAAGGACTGGGCAGCCGGCCATAGAGGGAGTAAAAGGGGACTCTAGAAACAGACTCAGAGCACAGCTGATGAAGCTAATGAGAAAAGGAGGAGAGGGAAGGAGAGATAGCAAGAGGGAAGTGGCTTTACATGAGATATACATGGCCAGGCAACTGACACTCCCTAGCATCTAACAGAGAAGAGACAGAAAACAGCAAAGCACCTGGTGGCATCAAGGACAAATAAATGCTCTGTTTTTTGTTTTGTTTTGTTCTGTTTATTTTTTTGTGGATCACAGAGCATTTTCAGAAGCATGAATTATCATCCTAAACTACCTCTCATGGTTAGAGAGTGAGGGTAAACAATAGGGCCAGCAGGAAATGCAAAGATATAAAATGCAAGCAGTGATAATTAAGTTAAAGCTGAACTGCAGCTATGGTATTTTGAAAGGAGCTTTGATGATAATACAAATACCACAGCAGTATCAAATGAATGAACACTTATAATGTAACAGTATCATTTCTGACATCAATTTAAGGTCACTTTCTTTGCATAAGACATTAGGCTGTTCATGCTATGTTAAGTAGAATTATTATGTTTATGTTATGTAAAAGGACATTAATAGAGCAAAACATATATCATAGTGGAAGATAGTCAGCAAATGGCTCCTTGATGTCATTAAAGCATTTTGCAGCAGTGTTCCCTGTAAAGATATAAGGACTAAACTGAAATATGAGTTTAGTCTGGGGTCTGATTCTTAAGTTTGAGTCATGAGTATCATGAGTCTATTGTTGCTGCTGAGTTGACTGGGACTGTCTATAAGCAAGGACAGCCATACCTTCTGAGATCTTTATGAATTATGAATCCAAAATTGCTGGTAGTTCATTAAAAGCTTAATGGAGAGCTGTACAGGTAACAAGCAGTGTTCTTTTGAATATGTTGTGTAATAGATCAATTCTGGGCAGCAGGTTAGGCTTCTTGATCTGTTTTTCCCCATTTCATTGGATATATATTGTGGCCTGAGAGACACTTAGACTAAATCTTTACATTGTGAGTGTTTCAGATGAAACTGAACAAATATGGCAGTATCATAGTACTTAGCATATGCAATAGACATTGTGATCCCAGTGGAAGCTGGAAGTCATAGAATTATAGATTGAAAAGAGACCAAACCCCAGCCCAATCCCTTGCAATCCAGGAAAACACAATCAAAACACCCCCAACATATGGCCATACAGTCTCTCTTTAAAACCCCCAGAGAAGAATACGCCATCATGCTTTGAGACAGCAGCATCTTCCACTGCTGAGCAGCTCTTGCCATTAGAAAGCTCTTCCTAATGTTTAGGTGAAATCTTTTCCCCCCTGCAGTTTGAATCCATTGCTCCGTGTCCTGGTTTCCAGAGCAGCAGAAAACAAGCCTGCCCCCTCCTCAATGTGACATCCTTTCAAATATTGAAACACTGCTATTGGGTCTCCTCTCAGCCTTCTTTTCTCCAAGTTAAATAGACACAGCTCCCTAAGCCATTCCTCATATGGCATGGTTTCCAAACCTTTGATCATTTTGGTCACCCTTCTTAGAAATACTTAGAAACAGATAGTGGTCAGTGAGTGTCTGCCTAATATAAGGGGGTACTTAAGCAGTAAGACATGTAGTAATACCATGGTGTGCAGGAAATGCCACAAAACTCAGTTTCCAGGAAATTATCCATATTACTGTGTTGCTGCAAAAAAGACCAGAGGAGATTTGATATTTTAAAGGTTGCCAAGGGATGAGTTGCTTCCTGAATCGATTTCTGCAACAAGGCCCCACAGAGCTAACTGCCTTTCCCTGAAAACAGTAAATGCACTGTCATAACTGAATATTTATTTTGATTCTCACTGGCTACAGTTTCTTTGATTTGGTGGTTATCCTTAATACAATTTGGGGATCTGCAGGTGTTTGAGGTCAAATGTGAAGCACTTGTCATTAAAACAAAGTTTGCCCTTTGCCAATGTTTATTTCTGTCCAGATTGAGAAAATCCTTCCCAAGTTTCACAAGGCTCTTCATCTTTTGACGATGGGTCTATCAATGACAAAGATAATCCCTCCCTTAGTTTCCCTCCATTATAAGAGCAAGGAAACCCATTCTGACCATGTTGCATTTATATCC